AAAGAAATGTCAACACTTAAGCTTTTGTGTAAAGTGGGAAAAGGAAAACATTTATTTTGCTGCTCTTCTATTTAAATGCAATGGGAATCTGCTATAATTTTTATTTTTGCATTCCAGTATAATATGGCTAAAAACCATGACTCTCCAAAAAGTACAGAGAGAGCAATACATAACATCTATACACACATACTGGTGTCAGTCCTGGTGTTGCAATGAAATTCAACCTTACACTTTATATGTGAGTGTTATACCTGTTGGTTTTCTTCTTCCTCAAATTTAAATTCCTGCAAATTCCAATGCCAATTTATTTTTGTTTTCTAATAAAAAATGTAAATCTCAATATGTTACTGAGAATTAAGCCTTTGATATGGTATTACTTACATGTGGAATCCAAAGAAAAAAATACATTGACGAACGAAATAGAAAAGACTCATAGACAGAGAACAGACTCTTGGCTGCAAGAGGAGAGGGGTGCTGGGGAACTGGGTGAAAAAAGATGATGGGACTAAGAAGTACTAATTGGTATACTGGAATTATTGGGGGGAATACTTTATAAAGCATATAAAGCATTGGGCAAAACACTATGCTGTATCCCCAAAACTAATACAAAACAAAACATTAATCAAAACAAAACAAAAAACAGTTCTATATCATGAACAAAACATGAGAAGAAATTCAGCTACTGTTCAGTAATGAGTTAGAGAGTTTGCATTCCATATTTATATTTAGATAAATATTTAAGTGCTTCATTTAAAGGAAGTTAATATAAATATTTACTAGTGGGTTAGCCAAAGCACACTAATTTTTATTGGCATTATTTAAAAAATTTTAAGAGTGCATAAAATAGAAAAAAAAGAAGCACTAATTAGTAGTTACAAAATAGGGGGATATAAGGTAAAGCATAGGGAATATAACCAACAGTATTGTAATAACTATACATGGTGCCAGATGGGTATCACTGTATAAGGTTTATCAATGTCTTATCACTAGGTAGAATGCCTGAAATTAATAAAAAAAGTGTTGTATTACCCCCCCACAAAAATGTAATCAATCAATCAATCAATAACTGTTTAAAACCTTTGAAATAAATATTTTCCTTGCAATATGTTGGGTAAATATTTGGAAGTACTGGATAATTTGAAAATCAGTCAGTTTTAGACTTTATCAGATACATGTAATTTCAATGTAAGCAGCCAAATTTTATCTATCTGGCCTTTAGGTGCAATTTGAAGTATATATGTGTTTGTATGACACATATTAAAACATCATGTCAAATATTTTAAGTGTTAAATAAATGTCAGTTTTTGCTAATGTTATGCATATGACATCTACTTCATGCCATGAGAGATTTAGTGATGTTGGATGGAAGTGATGGATTGTAGGTAGTACTATAGGCTGAAAACTGGAGTTTATACTTAAAGAGACCTTATTTTAATAATAATGATTATATAACAGCAATATATCTACATCTAGCATAAGTCATATTTGCTAGTGTTGTCTGGCTTATTTATTAGATGCTTTTTAAAATGTTCCAGTGACATGAGACCTTTAAGTTTGTATTTTGCAAAGAAAGAGAAAAATTTACCTAAACCTCAAGACTGAAAACAAATAGACTAGTAGTAATTAACCTCCAAATTTTTGCCTTTTTAATAACATTGGTGGACATTTCATAGGATTTTGTAATCTTAATTTCTATACTTAAAAAATCCTTCTTATATACTTCCATACACAAAAGGTATACTATAGAATGTAAATCATGCAATATAAAAGTAAGTTGTATGGTATTTCTAAGCCTTGGCACTCCAAAACCTATGTAATGGGGAATTTTTCAAATTTTTATTAGTCCAAAGGATCTCTAATGGGTCCCTGGGTCTTATATCAAACTACAGAGGAGAGAGGTAGGGCCTGTCATCCTAGCAGAATGGAACCAGTGTGGAACTGGACAGACACACTGGCATGGGTCAGAAAGATGGAAGAGGATAACCTACCTATGGACAATGGAAAGACTGTCAACCCATCAGCTAGGGCACAATAACTGGCGCACCTGGTATCATATTTACCAAGACATGGCAGGGTGCCTTGACAAACAGTTGTCAAAACACACAGAGATCATAGGTTCAAGGAATATCACAAAGTCTTAGCAAACAGTATGCAGTGAAACTCAGGTAAATTTTTCTGCTTAGCAACACCTCAAGACTGGTATTTAGGAGCAGATCTCATGTTCTGGCATAAAAAAAAAAGCAAGAGTAAAGTGGAATCACTTTCCCATATGATAGAAGAACAAGGCTGCCAGAATGGTTTGGAAGACAGAAATTAGACCCAGAGAAGGAGGCAGAACATACTTTTCAAAACTTGAGCAAAAGGCAAGATTTGGTTTCAGGGCAAAGTTGAGCACATAACTTGGACTGAGGCACACAGTGAAGAGTAGCAGGCTCTATGTCTTCTGAGCATAGTCCAACAGCATCCCAGCCTCTGAGGAAGTGAAGAAAAAGTATCAAGGGTTAGGAAGCCAAACAGAATATCAACTAGAGAATGTTTCTGGCTCAAGTCTTGGGGTTCCTCTTTGTTCAGCAGGTGAGAGTCCAGAGGCAGTGGCCTCAAGTTACTTTAACTTTTTTTCTCAGAAATTTCCACAGAGTCAGTGAAAGAGGCAGTAACTCCTCCTGGAGTGATCTCGGAAGCCTGTCAACAAGAATATAGGCCCTTCCTATGCCCTTCACAACTCTCCAGGGGTTCCCTGGGTTCCTTGATGGCCCCAAGGACTCTAGATCTTTAAGAACACCAGAATTATGTTGAAACTTCTCTAGGCCACTTTATGGGAGGTCTTTTTGGACCAGGGGCAAAGCCACCCAGTAAGCTGTTTGGTTTATTGACACAGCTGGATGCCAACAAATGCTATGTTTTAAAAATCCCAGAGAGTATCTTTCAATCACCACTTCTAGGAAGCAGGTATGTTCAATACTACCAAGACCAAATGGTGCTTTTTATAAGAATATTTGCTACAAACACTATGCTGAACATTTAAAAACCAAGCCCTAGAGTCAGTTCATTTACTTTCAAATAATGTTGTTTCCACCATGTTATATTCCAAATGCCTCCACATTGTAACTTATGCTGTTGGTGACACATTTATAATACACATAATATGTTTATGCCATTCCTTTTTCTATGTGAACACCTAATGAGGCATCCAAACAAATGCCATTGCCCTATACTGGCAGATTGCTGCCCAGCATAGTTTGACATGCTATGATGGGGGGGGGGTGTGTGTGTAACGAATTGTGCATTAAGGAGAGAGCAACCAGCAGCAGAAGGACCTTGAAATCATGTCCTGTACTGGGCATGTTTATTAGAAGAACTGGATATGATGGTTAACTTAGAGAAGGATATGCCTTTCTAGGACAGATCAAAGACTAATCAATAATGGTATAAAGAAGGGAGTTGGGCTTAAAATAAGAACTACCTTTCTTAAATGTGAAGCAGTAATGAAAAAGAAGGGATTGTGGAGAATGTTCATCTTTCCGGCAAGATAGTGAGCATCACAGTAACCTTGGAGTACAAAGTAGACAGTGGGTGAGCACTTAGCAGGAATGGAATATTTACATGTAGAGGGGGAATTGGTTCCAGTGGCCTTTAAAGTGAGTGATTGAGCTAGAATCAAAATTCAAATTTTCCACTTCATTATCTGGAAATTTACCTAATTCCCTGATGTGACAGGCTGAACAATAGCTTCCAAATATGCCCATCTCTTAATCCCTAGAATGTGTGGATGTTTCCTTATATAGCAAAGGGACTTTGAAGATGTGATTTAATTAAAGATCTAAAGTTCCATAGATTACCCTGTATTTTGGGGGTGGGCCTAATGTATAATCACATTAAGTTTATGAGAGGGAGATAAGAAGAGTGAGAATCAGAGAATAAGTGATGCTGGAAGCAGGAATTGGAGTGCTGTGCTTTTAAAATGAAGGAAAGGATCACATGCCAAGGAATATAGGGAGCCACTAGAAGCTGAAAAAGGTAAGGAAATGAATTCTCTACAACCTCCAAAAGAATGAAGTTTTACAAACATCTTAACTTCATCCTGGTGAGGCACATTTCATACTGCTGTCTCCAGAACTGTTAAGACAATGAATTTGGATTGTTTAATGCTGTTAACTTTGAGGTTATTTGTTATGGTAGCAATAGGAAACTAAGGCACTTGCCTTTCACTAATTTGTCTGTAATTTTATTTGAGCTCAGAACAAACTAGCCAATGCCAAAAATTGGCACACCAATGAAGGAAATATAGCTAGTTCACTCCCCTCTTCCAACACTGGTTGTCCATTCTTGGATTGAGTCTGTATGTGTAGTTGCTCCCTTCTAATGGAATTTTTCCTTCTTCCATATGTGTTGGAATGACTTCTATGCACATATAACTAAATCCAAACTTCTTAGCAAAACATGTAAGCCTCTTGATCAAATTTTCTGCTCTCTCACCTATTTTCTCCCTGAGGTCTCTTGTCAAGTTTCCTGAAAACACCATACTATTTTACCTGTTATTTGGCACATGTTGTTTCTTCTGTAGTAAGTAGCTTTTATTTTCTGTTTTGCCTTGATAACTTCTACTCAACTGTATCAGGATTATGTTTAGCCAAAATAGAGACCTGAAAAAACACAGGCTTCAACAGAGGTTTAATTCTTTCTTTCATGACTACTTGAAAGTGGGCAGTTCAGCACTGATACAGCATCTCATCTCTTCTCTGGGACAGCCACAAGAAATCAGGCTCCTTCTGGCTCATGGCTGTGCCATCCCAAGAGTATGGTCTTTGTGTTAATAGTACAAGAAAGTGTTGGACTTCTGCCAAGATGGAGGCGTAGGTGGAAGCACTGCACCTTCTCACACAACCAAGTTTAAAAACAACAAAGTTTTAACAACAAAAATGCAGCCAAACCACAGAAAACTGAACTACATGGAAGTCTGACAACAACAAACCCTTCAACCAAACCAGTAAGAGGGGCAGAGCCAGCAGTGGAGCAGGGTCGGGCAGGAAAAATCCACCGGACCCACTGGGGAGCACAACCCAGGCACACCGGCAGCCTTAGGCGAATCCCAGGTGTGGAGTAGCAGGCACACCCACTGAGAGCACAAGGCAGTGGACTCACTGAGGGCTGACCACAGTCACACATTTGAGTGCAGATAAACCAGTGAAGGAGTAAAGTGGTGAGACAGCCTGTGCTGGCCCCAGTGGCAGAAAGTGGCAGAGGGGACCACCATTGTCCCTCTCTGACCCTGACCCCACACACGGTGTCACAAACCAGTGACCTGGGTGGCCTCTCTCTGACCCGCCCCCACCCAGCGACTTGGGTGGCCCCACCCTGGTGAACACTTCCTCATACGTAACAGGCATGAACAGATCAAAACATGGCTCAAGAACAACTCAGAGTCCCAGAGCCAATAAATCTAAGCAATGAAGAAATAGCCAAACTTTCAGATGCACAGTTCAAAACACTGGTGATCAGGATGCTCACAGAACTGGTTGATTTTTGTCACAAATTAGAGGAACATATGAAGGCGAAACTAATTGAAATGAAGGGAAATGCACAGGAAACCAATAGTAATGAAAAGGAAACTGGGACTCAAATCAAAGGAGTGGACCAGAAAGAGGAAAAAAATTACCAAACAGAAAAGAATGAAGAAACAAGAATTCAAAAAAAAAATGAGGAGAGGCTTAGAAACCTCCAGGACATCTTTGAATGCTCCAACATCCAAATTATAGGGGTACCAGAAGGGGAAGAGGAACAGCAGCCAGTGGAAAACTTACTTGAACAAATAATAAAGGAGAATTTCCCCAATCTGGCAAAGGAAATAGGCTTCCAGGAAATCCAGGAAGCTCAGAGAGTCCCAAAGAAGGTGGACCCAAGAAGGAACACACCAAGGCACATCATAATTACATTAGCCAAAATTAAAATGAAGGAGAGAATCCTAGAAACAGCAAGAGATAAGGGGACAGTCACCTACAAAGGAGTTCCCATCAGACAGTCAGCAGATTTCTCAAAAGAGACCTTATAGGCAAGAAGGGGCTGGAAAGAAATATTCCAAGTCATAAAATCCAAAGACCTATATCCAAGATTGCTCTATCCAGCAAAGCTTTCATTTAGAATGGAAGGACAGATAAAGTGCTTCTCAGATAAGATCAAATTCAAGGAGTTCATCATCACCAAGCCCTTATTATATGAAATGTTAAAGGGACTTACCTAAGAAAAAGAAGATAAAAAAGATGCACAGTGAAAGGACAGCAAACTCACAGTTATTAAGAACCACGCCTAAAACAAAAGCAAACTAAAAGGACAGCTAGATCAGGAGTGGAAACATAGAAATGAAGATCTCAAGGAGGGTTAGCAACAGGGGAGTGGGGGGAGGAGAAGGGGGGAGAAGGTACAGAAAATAAGTAGCATAGACAGTAGATAGAAAATAGATAGGGGGGCAAGAATAGTATGGGAAATATAGAATCTAAAGAACTTGAGACACATGGTCATAAACTAAAGGGGAGGTAATGTGGGGGAGGGGGGTGCAGGGTGGAGGGGAATGAAGGGGGAGATAGAACTGTAATGGCATAATCAATAAAATATATTTAAAAAAAGAAAGTGTTTATAGCTCTGACCATCACTATCATATTTCAGGCAGAAAAATGGAAGAGAGCAAAAAGGGATAAAGGAGCAAAGGGCACATCTCGGCTATCTATTTTTGAAGTTTTCTGAATAATATCAAATTATACTTCTACTCACATACATTAAAAAGTACTCAGTTGGAAAGAGGCTGGGACATGAAGTTCTTACCTTGGGGACAAGGGAGGCATTGACCCTACAAATACTCAGATGCCCTATTTCTGTGGGATAAGAGAAGGAATATTAAGGGCTAACAAATGTATGTGTACATTTATATATTTATATTATATATATTTACATTATATATCCATATATTATTTATATATATCATATCACACACAAACATAAATATATGACATTATATTAAATTTTATATAATATAATATATTATGCATTATATAACATATTACATAATAAAATATAATGACATGTAATATCTCATATTATGTGTAATATATTATATTATATTATATTATATTATATTATATTATACTATACAATGTGATAAATATATTACACATTATATAGCATTCATGGCATATTTATATATTTATATTTGTATTATATTTATATATATTTACATTTATATATGTGTATTTACATATATAAGTGTACACATACAAATGCATATATATCACATCATCATTTAAAAGTCTAATTATGTTCTTCCTGTTATGGAAAGATGTCCCTAACCCCTGACTGCATTAATTGTCTCTCCATTATGCTCTTAAACATCCTGCAAATATCCTATCTAACTTTGTGAATCGTTTTTATTTCTTTGGCTGTCTCTCATGTGGGCCATGAGTAATTTGAGGCAGAAGTTGTTTTTATCACTATATTGCCTAGCACAGTAGCTATAAAAATTTACATATATTGAATAAATGAATGGCTTAATTCAGAAAAGTTTCCTCATGTCAGAGTTCAAGGAATTTTAAGTTTTGGGCAGATATTTTAACATAAGATGTACTGTGTTTTGGCTTTTAATATATATTTTGTAAAAATTTCTAAGAAATTAGTTACAGCGCCTACGAAAATATGTAGCAAATGTAGCTTTGTATATGTATCTTATAGTTCAAAAAGTGAGAATTTTCCCAAAGCAAGACATAGTTAGCTTTTTTTCCATACTCCCACCCCACCATTCTCTGTAAATATAGTTCAAAAAATGTAATCAAGGGTAGTTTATTTTAGTTTAAGCCATTAAAATGGAGCAGATTGCATGTGGACCACAGTCTGTATAAATGCAACCAAATGATATAGATAATTGTAACACTGTAAAGTTAAGAGGTAAAAATAAATTTGAGTAAAAATCTTTGAGTAATAGAAACACATAATTTTGTTTTTAGTAATTTTTTTGATATGTCTTTTTCCTGATATGTGTTTTAACAGTGATATGAAATTATCAATACTTGAAAGGTGAGTATTATCATCTGGAGAAATCTAGAATCCTAAAGCACTTTTTTAGTTCAAGAAACTATTTTTTATCCTCACCTGAGAACATTTTGTTCATTGCTTTTAGAGAGAGAGGAAGGAAGAGAAACATTGATCTAAGAGAGAAGTATTGATTGGTTGCCTCCCAAATGTACCTGGATGGGGTAGGGGTAGGGTGTCACACATGCCTGCGCCTTGACTAGGGATTGAACCCACAACCTAGTTATGTGTCCTGACTGGGATTCAAACCCACAACCCACAATCTTTTGGTTATAGGATGATGTTCCAATCAACTTGAGCCAGGGCTCAAGCAGCTAAATTTATACCAGTAAGATTAATTTAAGATTAGATGGTAGAATAAAAGTGTAATGATTATTTTCAATATGTACATCTTCAGTTTTTAAAAAATATTCTTTTAATAATATTAACTATTTAACAGAGAAATAAAATACATAAGACTTGAAAGGAAATATAATAACAGACATGATATCTGCTTTTAAAAATATAACCTAATAGGGAAGAGAGTTTATATTAAAAATTATAATGTGTTACAGTGGCTGAGGTTAACTGAGATAACGAATATGTCCATTAGAATGGGGAGACCATTTCTTCAGAGTATTGTAAGGAATTTTTTCATGAATTAACTGTTCATATTTTCCACCATCTTCTACTCAGTAATTATTAGAGAATTATTAATTAGCATAGTATTTTTTGCCTTGCTCTTTAAACTAGAGTGTTCATATTTCCAGTTTGCTTGGGACTGTCTTGATCTATGTGTTTTATGCCAACATAGTTATTAATAGTGCCCCCTTATCTCTCTGAAGGAGTAAGACAATTTATAGCTTGTTTCTCCATCCTCACTAGCATGAACTTTCCCTCAGTCTTCCTTCTTCCCTACTTTCCACACCAAATGCATGGGAGGGTAGGGAAGAAGATAACTTACTCTCCTAGAAGCTCAGTTTCTGGCCTTGGTTCCCATATTCCTGTTACACCTGATGAACATCAGGTCACACTCAAGTCTTGCTGATTGTGCCAAGTTTCTGTTGTTTACAGATTAAAAACCTTTATTCTTTGGAGGATAACATGCTTGTGATTTAAAGGGGGGAAAGATTCCCATGTTTGAGCTCACAAGTGGTTTTTTTTTTAATGAATTGGTATTTGAGCAGAGATAATTTTTTTAAAAATTGAAGTTATTGGGATGCCACTGGTTAACAAAATTATACAGGTTTCATGAGTACAATTCTACAACACATCATCTGTACACTGTATTGTGTGTTCATCACCCCAATTCAAGTCTCTATCCAGCACCATATATCCCCTCTATACCTTCCTCCACATCACTCCAACCTTTTTCCCCCCTAAATTATCATACAGTTGTCTGTGTTCATGAGTTCTTTTTTAGTGTTTTTTTAAAGGTTTTATTTATTTATCTTTAAAGGGGAAGGGAAGGAGAGAGGGAGAGAAATGTCAATGTATGGTTGCCTTTCGTGCATCCCCTGCTGGGAACTGGCCTTCAAGGAACCAGCCTGCAACCCAGGCATGTGCCCTGACTGAAAATTGAACCGCAATTGCCTGGTTTGCAGGCCCATGCTCAATCCACTGAGCTACGCCAGCCAGGGCTCTAGTTTTTTTTCTTTTTTGCTCAATCCCTCCACACGCCCCCACCCAGTGTTCCTCCTGACAGCTGTTAGCCTGCTCTCTATCTGTAAATCTGTACAATTTTGCTTTTTAGTGCAGTTTCTTCATTAGATTTCACATATGAATGAATTATGTGGTACTTGTGTTTCTTTCATTGGCTTATTTCACTTAGTGTCATGTTCTTTATGGACATGCTATCACAAAGGGTAAGATGTCCTTCATCTTTACAGCTAAATAGTATTCCATTGTGTAAATGTACTATACCTTTTTTATCCATTCATTCTACTTATGGGTACA